GTATTGGTGGCCATTTGGGTTGTTTCCACATCTTTGCAATTGTGAATTGTCCTGTTATAAACATTTGAGTCCAAATGTCTTTTTTTATAAAATATCTTTTTTATTTCCTTTGGGTAAATACCTAGTAGTGGGATTGCTGGATCAAATAGTAGGTCTACTTTTAGTTCTTTGAGGTATTTCCATACTACTTTCCATAATGGTTGTACTAGTTTGCACTCCCATCATAATGTAGGAGGGTTCCTTTCTCTCTGCATCCACACAAGCATCGGACTTTTGGGGACTTTTTGATAAAGCCATTCTCATGGAAGTTAGGTAATATCTCATTGTAGTTTTAATTTGTATTTCGATAATGACTAGAGATGTTGAACACTTTTTTATATATATTTTCTGGCCATTATTCTGTCTTCTTTTGGAAAGATTTCCTCTGATTGAGGCAATGGAGACCTATGGTAGAGCCTGAGAGATCTTTCCATAGATTTTGGCTCTTGGCCATCCCTATGACAAAGCTAAAATACCTTCAGAGGCCAGAGTGTCAGAGTAGTATATGTGTATTTTTGTAAAGCTTTTAGCTGCTTTAGAAGAAGGCTGAGCACAATGGCTCACTCCTGTAATCCTGGCACTCTGGGATGCGGGGCAGGAGGATCGCTCAAGGTCAGGAGTTTGAGACCAGCCTGTGCAGGAGCGAGACACCATCTCTACTATAAATAGAAATAAATTATCTGAACAACTAAAAATATATATATATAAAATTAGCCAGGCATGGTGGTGCATGGCTGCAATCTCAGCTACCTAGGAGGCTGAGGCAGAAGGGTTGCTTGAGCCCAGGAGTTTGAGGTTGCTGTGAGCTAGGCTGAGCCACGGCACTCTAGCCAGGGTAACAGAGCGAGACTCTGTCTCAAAAAAAAAAAAAAAAAAAAAAAAGTGACTTCAGAAAGATAAAATTTACAATTCCCTAGAAACATATAATCATTTTAATTTTTGTATTCAGGTAATAATAAATCTTAAAAAAATAATAGGAAAAAAAGACAAATACCCAACGAGGCAACTAGAATTTTCTTATAACATCTCTATTAAGATATAATTCACATAACATAAAATTCATCTGTCTAACGTGTACAATCTAGAGGTTTTAATGTTCATAGAATTATATGAACATAACCTCCATATAATTTCAAAATATTTTTATCACTCTCAAAAAACCTGTACACATTAGAAGGCACTCTCAATTTCTCCCTTCTCTCAGCCTTTGGCAACAACTAATCTACTTTCTCTTTCTATGAGTTTACCTATTCTGGACATTTCTTGTAAAAGAAATGATAAAACATGTGGTCTTTTGTGATTGGTTTCCTTTGCATAACACCATATTTTTGAAGTTCATCCTTATTGTACCACTTATAGTATTTCATTCTTTTTCATGGCTGAATAAAAAAATATATCATATTTTGTCTATCCATTTATCAGTTAATAGACATTTGGTCTGTTTGCATTTTTGACTATTATGAATAATGTTGCTGTGGACATTTTTGTGCAAATTTTTACATGGGTTTGTTTTCAGTCATCTGGGGATGTGCTTGGGAGAGGAATTGCCCCATTATTTGTTAGCTTTATGTTTAACATTTGGGGAACTACCAAACTGTCTTCCACAGTGCCTGCACCTTTTACAATCCCACAGGCAAGGTTGCATGGTTCCAAAGTCTCCACATCCTTGCCAGAACTTGGTATTGTCTGTCTTTTCTGTTTTAGCCATCCTAGTTAATGTGAAGTGGTATCTCACTGTGGTGTTGATTCACATTTCCCTAATAGCTATTGGTATTGATTATCTTTTCATGAGCTTATTTGCCACTTGTGCCTCTTCTATAGAGAAATGTCTGTTCAATTTTTATCCATGAATTTGGTTATTTGACTTTTTCTGGATGGGTTTTAATAGTTCCTTATATATTCTTCATACAAATCTTTTATAATTTGCAAATTTTTTCTCCATTCTCTGGTAGTCCTTTCACCTTTTTGATGATGTACATTAAAGCACAAACATTTTTATTTTTGATTAGGTTCAATTTATTTTTTCTTTAGTTGTGTGTACTTTATCATAAATAAGAAACCATTGACTAACCCAAGGTCATGAAAATTTACTTTTATATTTTCTTCTAAGAGTTTTATATATTTGTCTTTTAAATTTATATCTTTTATACATTTTTAGTCTTTGTATATAATATGCAATAGAGGAACAAATGTCTTTTCCATGTGGATATCTAGTTTTCCCAGCACCATTCATAGAAAGAGTTCCATCGCCATTAAGTTGACATGACAACCATGAAAACCAATTCAGTGTAAATGTAAAGGTTTATTCCTGGAATCTCAATTCTATTCAATTGATATTTACATCCCATCCTTCTGCCAGTATCACACTGTATTGATAACTAGCTTTGTATAATAGTAAATTTTAAAATTGAGAAGTATAAGTCCTTCAACTTTTTTCTTTTTAAAATTTGTTTTGGTTAGCAAACCAGAAGTTTCCACATGAATATTAGAAATAGCTTGTCAAAATCTACAAAACAAATTGCTGGGATTTTGATAGGAATTTAACTGAATTTTTAGATCAATTTGGGATTGAATTTTAGATCAATCTTAGCTATATATGTACAAGTTTATAATTCTTGGGCATTGTTTAAATGTGTGTTTGCTTTATAATTATTCCTTAAACTATACATTTTGGGATTCTTGTGCAAGTGTGATGTATCTGATAATTTTAAAATGTGTAAAAATAACGTGTGGGGTAGCATTAGTTGGGAAAAGTCTCTTAGAAAGGAGAATGTATGCAATTGCTAGTTGAATGAGTGAGGCAATCTGTTTCAACAGATAAGCATTTATTTAATGAACTGACTTGAATGACTACGAGGAGAGACATGATATAGAAAATGGGCTGTTTTCAGGGCCATGTGGAAACTGTAGGTGGAGGAGCCTGAGTGCTATGGTTAACTATCTGCACGTTATATGTCTCATGTTTCATTCTTCCTCCTTTTGAAAGAATGGGTTATCTAGTAGATGTTCGATATATATTGGAATGAATACCAAATTTGCACACAGAGCTCCATTGTATACCTACTTCCTATTATCTAATCCTTTTTATCTATAGCCAGGCTAGATGGACAGGATTATCTGAAACCCTTTTTAAAATTGTTTTAATTAAAGCTGGTCCCTTAGTTAAGTAAATATGTCCTTCATGCCACAAAGTGACCTCCTGCCAAAAGCATTCTATTCAACTGAGAAAAAGACGGATGACATGTCTTTCTCCTGAAGGTAGTGCTCATGTACACTGGCATGAGCACCACAAATCCAGTTCTATTAAAAGTAATGAAGTAGGAATGTCAGTACAATTATCTGCAAACGGTTTGTGTCTGTTCAGGCTTTTTCACAGTTCAGGGTAATAACTGCTGTAGGCTTATGAAATTTCTGGGCAGCAAAGCCTAACTGCAGTGTTTCTGTGGATGTTAACTCATAATTGATATTTTTTTCTTCAGATACCCAAAGGGCCTTCCTGGAAGATAATTCTGGTCTCAAAATCAGTTACTATCAGTGAATTAGAGAGTGTTCAGTTCATAGTATTTAGACAAAGACTATGTGTATGTATATACTTTTTGTTTATACTGTAGTGGTGTCAGTCATGAAGTTGGGAACAGGCTGGCCCATTTTTACTTATTGTATGATTTGAAGCAAATTACTTAGATTCTCCTTGCCCCAGATGCCTCAAAAATAACAATGAAAAAAGATATTATCTAACTCTTAGGATTATTCTATCAACCACATGTGAATACTGAATAAGATCAAACTTACACAACATTTAGCCTAACATTGAGCATATGGTGTTGAATAAATGCTAGTTATTAGTAATAGTAAAAATAAAGAAAATATTTACAGAATTTTTATTCCATGCATATCTGAATTTAATTTTATCAATAATAACTTTATAAATATCATTCTTTTCTTTGAAAACCTTCTATTACATAGGCAAACCAAGGTTGCAGAATCAGTGCGAGAGGTGAATTGTAGGCAGATTTCTAAGATAGCCTGTAATGATTCTAGCCTCTGTTATTCACGTCCTTTTCTGATCCTCTCCACGTGCATGTGGGATGAACCTAGTAACCTATTTCTAATGGGTTGAATCAGCAAAGGTGATGGCATGGTACTACCAAGATTAAGTTAAAAGGTGACTGCTGTCTTCTAGCAGGTCTCTTTCTTGTCTTCTTGTTTGTTTTCTCTGATGA